TGCTTGTTTGTAGATCACCTTAATCTATATCAAGCATTCAATATACATTTGAAAATAATGGTAGATCGCATCAATATACAAAATAAACCATGATATGTGTTGTAATGATATGATAAAAATGACTTACCTTGTCATTTTTATATCCACCTAACTCCTTTAGCTACATGAGGTGCACACCTATTTTTATGTCATCCCATTCTCCAATGTGAGGGCAGGGTCATGACGCCAAAGGATCCAGATTCTCCCTCGTAGGTGATAGATGTTCAAAGAAGAAAATCTAGTTAGACGACAACAAGTAACTAATTATGGGAAAGTAAAACCAAAAGTAGAAGGAAATAGTCAATGAGTATAATACGTCACCATGAGGAGAAGAATGCAACCTTTGATACTGTTGTGGGGAGTCATCTTGTAGTCACGTACCTCCTGAATCATGTAATCAGATACAAACTTTACCGAGTTCTTAGACTTCAAATATGCCACATCTTCAAAAATTGGAAAAAAGTGTCTGCTAATTTTAATTTTCATTGTTGGGCACTAGAAAACCCCAATAACATACAACACAAAGTATTGTCGAAATTCTTAAGAATCTTCTTCCATTTTCTTTATTTTCTTTCCTATCTCAATCAATGACCAACGCATTTTTCTATCAAAAAATTTCTTCATAACATCAATTATTCTCAATGAGGAGTCGTTGGTTTCCAAATCATCCCCTCCACAATGCAATCCCAAAATTTACTCCACATCCTCAGGACAAATTTTTATGGATTTGTTGAATACGTTCAACAAACAAGTATTTGGATTACATTGTTCAAGTAACCACCCACAAAGCCCCCGCTTAACATTGTGAATTTTCAAACTTAACAAGCCCCCCATTCCAATTTCTACCACCCGCATTTCTGTTCATCCATTAATGTTGCAATTAAGCTTACTACCTTTTGGGGTGAGCATCTGGTTCCAAGTATATTATGCTAAAGTGTGCAATAGCATAACAATGAGTGAATCAATGAAGTAATAAAATTATTGAATGTAATGCTTGAAACAAAAATGTAAGTTTGCTATTAACTTTTTTAACTAAAGTGCTAGTGGTTGCAATACTTGGCGATGAAATCCTCTGGCGCGTTTGATGCTCCACTTGTTGTCCTACTTTGATTTGCCTCTTCTTCATCCTTTATAATGCACTATACTATTAAACTAATACAAAATAATATGAGTATCCCAAAAATTTCAACAAGAAGTACTTACATTGTTGTCCTTGTATTCAACAAACAAATGGCCTACCAAATTTAGTTTTGTCATGGTTAGTAAACAATACACATAAACCAAACATAATGAAATCATTTGCATTTTAACTTATCGATATATCTATATAACTAAGAAGTCATAAACAAATAAAAAACTTTTAAGGCTCTACGTAACACAAAAGCATGGATTCAAAAAAAAACAAAATGCAGTTGAACAATAACCTGAGATTTCGCCCAAACAAATTTAAAACTGAGATTTTTAAGTCTACTATTAAAGATACTCATTGAACAATAAAATCAGACCATAAGTAACCATAAGAAACTGCTCTTAATCAAACATAAGCAGGCATAATGGTTGTAACCAAATCCACAAAGGTTGGAACCTAATCCACAAAGCTTGCAACCCAATCTAAAACACATTGAACTCCACCAAAATTTGTAACCCACAACTCCTAAAAGTTGTAACCCACCATTCCAAAAATAACCAACCACTTAAAAAAATTGTAACCAACCACCCAAACAACTTGTAACCCACCAAAAGTCGCCATGACTATATTTCTAGGTTAGGACTTATAAAATTAAAGAATTTTGGGTTTTCAAGTAAAACCTAAATAGAGAGAGGGGGATATATATTTACATGTTGTGTGTTGTGTTGCACTTTAAGGAAGTAACGAGCAAATAATGAGGGGTGAAGCAACCAAGCCTTCAACTTGCTCGTTGACTTAGGTCGAGTCTTCATGGTAGGTGTTGTAGATGATGTCCCAAATCCATCCACACAAAAACAACCAAAGCATCATTAGGTGAAGTTTAGAAAATCAAATGTGTTATAAGGGAAAAAAAGATAAATGGGTTAGCAAAAAAAATCCTAAACACTGACCACAAAATTACAGAGACCACAAAATTAGAAAATATAATACAAATATTTTGCAAAGAGAGAGATAGGTTTTCGGTGGGGTTTCAATGGGAGCCGAGACAGAGAGATGAGATTTCAGTGGTAGCCGACAGAGAGGAGATGGGGTTTTAGTAGGAGCCGATAGAGAGAGGAGATGGGTGATGAAGTCTTGGAAGAAGACGATGCAGCCACAACCAACCTTTGTAAAGAGGATGAGCTGTTGGGGGTTTTAAAGAGCTTCTTGGAGATGCTTTAACAAATAAAGAGGGAGAAAGAGACACAGAGAGACAAAAATAGGTAGAGGGAGACAGATCGAAGGAGGGAGAAAAAGACACAGAGAGACAGAAATTGGTAGAGGGAGACAGATCGAAGGACACAGAGGAGAGGGAGAGGAGGAAGATAATTCGTGTGTGGAAACTGGAGGGGTGAGAGACATTGGGTGTTTTGGGGGTGTATGTGAAAATTGATTTTTTTCACTTTACACTCTAAAATATAAATATTTTCACATTGCAACGTAAGATTAAAATATGTTGTACGCAATTTCCTTAGATTGCTAATACTTTTATGTAATTGATAGTATTATAAGAATTATAATTTTTGACGGCATATATTAAGAATACAAAAAATTTTGGGATATAAACTGTTTTTATTAACAAAAAATGGGCGGGATATGTTTCTGCCAAAAAAAAAGTTGAATTTTTTGAAAAAATTTCAGTTTCACTTTTATTGGATCCATCATCCACATCCACCCCAACAAAAACGTGTAACCAAAACAACATACAACATAACCCCAAAAAGTTAGTTACACAAGCCTAAAAAAGTTGTACTGCCACTAGGACATCCCACATTTATGGATCCACTATTAAAAAAGGTTAAAACAAACCCCAAAAAGTTGAAACCTCACCCCCAAAAAATTGTAACAAAATCCATAAAAATTGGACCCCACCCCAAATATTATAATCTAATCCATAATACTTGCCCACATTTATGGATCCACCAAAGCTGTTAAAGTCCACCCAAAAAAGTTGGAAGGACAACAAAAAATATTGTAACTAAATCTAAAGAAGTAGTAACCTTTTGGAACACCATCCTCAACAATTGGAACCCACCCAAAAGGTACCTTTTTAAAGTGGTTTCAACTTTTATGAATTAGGGTTACAATATTTTGGGGTAAATGCAAACGTTTATGGATTATATTATTTGGGGTGAGGTTTCAATTTTGTTAGATATATAACCTTTTGTGTGGGTTCCAGCTGGATCTACCAAAGCTTAAAGCCAACCCCAAAAATTTGAAACCCCAACCCAAAACAATGTAACACAATCCAAAAAAGTAGTACCCCATCCCCAAAAGGTTGTAATACACGCAAAAACCACATAAGTAACAATCTATCCCATTTCTTTCCTAAATCACTTCACATAATAAATGCAAGGCAACAAAATTTTCCAACCAAAATATAGTTGGTAATTATGAAATAACTGATATTAATGTCTCCCACCTAATGTGGTTATGTTGTCTGAACATTCTACAACTTAAATCCAACGTTTCTTCATCCTCCCTACAATTTCACTCTTTATTCTTTCATCCTCCAAACAATTTCACTCTTTATTCCTTCATCCGTCATATAATTTCACTGGAATGTTTAGAACCACCATTCCATTATCATCCATCCAATTAGGTGGGCGAGGTAACTATTATGTATTTGATGTTAACTGCATAATTTTCTTTATGAATGTTTACTAATTTTGATAGGCAATATGGGAATGGAGAGCACTATATAAACTAATATTGTCAAAACACTAGTTTTTTTTTGCATTATGTACAAGATTAGTTAATTGGTCAAACATTTGATATATACCTTGCATCTGTTGTTAATTATTTTTATGTAGGTATAATCAACACAAATGTCTTCAACTTATTTATAAAAAGGAAAGCACGCTATTATAGACCTAAATGAAGATATAACGAATGACATGTTACATGATGTTGAAATTATGAAAATGAGAACATGCAGCAAAAAATGATGAATGAGTTAAAATCTGAAGAGGTTTTTGAAATGACGTTTGATTCACACAATAAGGTAGGAGAATTTTACAATACCTATGGAAGATATGCGGCGTTTAGCATTTGAAAAGATGACCTAAAGTATGACAAGAACCACATGCCAATTTCAAGAAGGTGGGTTTGCTCGAGAGAAGGGTATTGGTCTGCAAAGAATACGGACCATGTCGAATGAGTAAGGGAACCATGGGGTTTAACAACGGTTGGATCCCTTGCAATATTCTGTGTGAAGTATGATAGGAAGATAGGAAAATAGTTTGTAAAGGATTTTGTTAAGGAGCATAACCATCCATTGGTTCCACCACATGGCGTGCCATTTCTTTGATCACATAGGGGTGTTAAGAGCCTTGACAGGGCACAGACTATATCATTGTGTAATGTTGGTATACGAACAAGTTAGGTTAGAGATTTCATATTGCAACAATTGGGAGGATATCAAAATGTTAAATTTACCACAAAGGATTTGTACACTGATGTAGCATCCCAACGTAGAGAAGAAATGAGGGACAATGATGAGGAGAGTGCATTGGCATACTTGAGCACCAAGGAAGAGTTAGGCCTACTATTCTATTTCAAGTATAACATCACTGAAGACAATTCACTAAATTGTTTGTTTTGGGCGGATTTGATGTCTCGAATAGACTACAAGTGTTTTGGTGACGTCCTAACATTTGATACTACATATAAAATGAATATTTATAAGAAATGTTTCTCGGTAGAGTTAATGACTTGAGTTGATGTTGGCTGTCGGTGTGGCTTGGGCAGTTGGTGTAGATGGTCTGGGCAGTAGGTGGTTTGGGTTGGTTTGATGTTGGCTGTCAGTGCTTGGGTTGATGTTGGCTGTCGATTTGGCCAGGGCAGTCGGTGTAGGTGGTCTGGGTTGTTTGGTTTGATGGAAGATACTGGTCAGTTATGCTGGTTTATTGGTTTGTGGTTTATGTTCGCTGGGAGTTTGGTATGCTGGTTGGTGATTGTGGCTATGGGTTTGTGGATTCTGGTCAGTGATTGTGGTTGTCGGTGCTTTCTGGTGGAGAGGTGGCTGTTAATCACCAGTGAGGATGATGGAGAAGGTTAGGGTTACACAAGAACCCAAGAACCCGTACCTTCATATTACAAATCAAACACCTATTCACTTTCTTAGGTACATTACTCTAAACCGACGACAATGATTCAACCATCAAAGTCGATTGGAGCAGTAGCTAAAAATCAAGATCTAATCAACACTCAAGATCTAAAATTTTGAGTTGGAGTAATCGCTTCCATATACCTTTTTCAGATCTGCAATCAAGATCTGAAGGTCTCACCGTTCGATGTAGGTCAAAGTTCGTGACCGTGCGATGATCGTCCATCACTCTTTTTCTTCCCTAGCTGCAATCTTAGTCCATAGAATGTAGCTCTCTCTCTTTTCCCTCTCTCTTGTTACTTTGGCACCGAATATAAGTTGGGCATCTCACAAGATTTTGTATTTTTATAATTTTGCCCATGGACAAAACATGTGATTCGCATGTTCAGTTTCTTTTAACGGGAAGAGAGATAACCATTGGCTTGAGGGGCCACATTGCAACCAATTTTAAACAATGAGGGTGCACTATGAGAAAAGTGATATTTTAGGGTGTAAAGTGGGAATTTTAACATCTTTAGGCTGCAAAGTGTGAAAATCCCATTAAATATACTACCTCTACTTTCATAAAAAAAAGAAGTTGTTATGGGACCTTTGGCTAGCAAGTGCTGACCGACATAAGCCAAAGGAAGCTCAGTCGACCATCATAAGCCAAATGAAGCTCAACCGACCGGCTCATGGCAAAGTAGTAACCTTGAAGCAATAGAAGCTAACCAGCATCTTCGAAGGGACATAGGTGCTACCCAGTAGCCTCCAAGGAACGTAAATGCTAGTTGGCCTGCACTTGGCCATGGCTTCAGGAGGTACTTGGAACACTCTTATTGCTTGCCCAATTATGTTAGACAAATCCTACTCAACTAAGGTCCAACCTAGGTCCTAGAGTCCTAGTACAATGATACTCCAAAAAATTAAGAGCTAATGATAAGGACCTAGGAGCTAGAGTCCTAATCTACTACTACTCCAAACTCTTAGGAGCTGGTGATGAGATTAATCCCATCACAACCTAGAGTTTAGGTTCCTTTGGGATATAGCTTCCTACCACTATAAATAAAGGCCTCCAGGTACTAGGTACCAGGTATCACGTAGAAGATTCAATCCTAGTCTATTCTCTCCCTACTTTTCTTCGACTTTTTTTCTAACTTAAGCATCAAAGTCCCTTTGGCCACCCCCAGTCATTGGTGCATTGAGGTGTTATCTTGTCTTGCAGGTAACTTAAGGCTTGCTCATTATCCTATACATCCGTACGAGGTGGTGACTCATTGTGCAAAATTCTCCCTGCACAATTGGCGCCATTTGTGAGAAAGTAAATATGTTTTTTGACAACCTAGAAGCTTTGAACCATGTCTAGCAAGAGAACCAACAACCCTTCAACTAGCTGCTTGGCACTTACACTACCCCCTAAATCTTGAAAATTCCTTAAATTATGACTTTCAATTGCCCGATGACATGTTACTTCGAGATGGGCAGGATCATCCAAAAGAGCAACACCCTCTCCGTCACAACCTACTGACCCTTGGTGAAGGAAAGGAACCAGCTACCGAGGTTGCCTATCAAGAAGTAATAAGAAAAAATACGGAGGACCTAAAAGCCCTCAAGCAATGGCTCCCTCTCCAAAGGGGTAATAAACTAGCTAGTTAGGTCACCACCTCATCAAAGTGACCACCACAACGATGAAGCTTAATCCACCCATTACTAGAGCAGGTCGCTAGCAAGGAGTTATTCGACCCATGATCGGCGTTAAGGGAGATATTCACCAAGATGAACTACTTCTCAATGCTTTCCTAGGGACCCTTGACCCAGACGACATCCTCCTAGTCATATAAAGAAGGGAGACGAGTCACATAAAAAATGCCGCCCTAGAGAATGTAGAGAAAGGCATAGGAGTTCAACTAATCACTCTGCATGAGATGATTGGTATGATGATTATTAGAGACAAAAATGTATGCACTTTGATCCAGCCCACAAAGACACTAACCATCCTCTCCCAACGCTAGCCAAGATGACCTTGTATACTTTGCTAAAGAGAGGGTGAAACAGACCTTACTTAAGATGACCACAAATTTTTTTGTTTAGTCCATACAAGACGCCGAACGCCCATGTAAGTTCTCTCCTCCATCCTTTGTGTTGTATGATGGAAAGTCTAATCTCGTCCTCCACATTGGTTCCTTTACTAATAAGTTGGCCCTCTGGATGAGCAATGATGCATTGATGTGTAAGATGTTCCCCTCTAGTTTGGGGAGGTTAGTTCATAAGTGGTTCCATGGGATGCCCATGAATTCGGTCTTTTCTTGGGAACAACTCATAAGGGAGTTCATCTCTCAATTCATAGCCAATAGTCGGGAGCCAATGACCATTGACACACCTTTGGTGCTATGCCATAAAAGTGGAGAGACTATCTATGAGTAAGTCACAAGGTACTTGAAAACCTATACTGACATAGAAGAGTGCAATGAGAAGACCATTATCTATTTCTGTTTGGGCCTCCTTGAGGAAAGTGAATTCAGGAAGCACCTCATCATATGGCCACCCCAGGGTAAGTCACACTTGCAGGAGCATATCAAGAAATACGTGAAGTGAAGGACAACAAAGGGCTAGTTGATCGACTGCCAAAGAAGAACCAAATGGAGGAAGACAACACTTCCAACCCATCAAGGAGATACGGGTCATCCAACTGAATGAGAGACTCCTACCAAGGAGCTAACACTGCCTTCAAGGAGCCTATCTATCAACCTCTAAACCAAATCAAAGACAAGGAGTATTTTAGGTGGCCACCTAAAATGATAGTAGATCCATCAAAGCGGGACCAAACCTCCATTGTTCTTATCACAAGGACAAAGGCCACCAAACGGAGAAGTGGTGGGCACTCAAGTGCCACCTAGAAGAGTTGATCAAGCAAGGCCACCTTTCTTGGTACATTGACAAGGAAAAGAATACCAAGGAGTATGAAGAGCAACAAATCCAATCAAATGACCAACCAGATAACTAAGTTTTACTTTTAACTTAGTCGACAACGTCTTATTATTTCAGTAAGTCTTCAAAGACATTTGTTTCTCATTCTCATTGGTTAGTAAAGAGATGTTTGTTTTTCACAACTATAAGTGTTCCTCTATTTGTGATTATTGCAGTTTATGTGGTTGTACCTCCAGCCAACCTATATAGTTGCACCTCAAGCCAACCTCATAGTTGCACCTCTAATTAACCTCGGTGGCTGAACCTCAAGGCTACTTCTCCTTTAGCTAACCTTCGTGGTTGCACCTCAAGCCAACCTTCATGGTTGCACCTCAAGACTACTTGGCCTCCATGCAACCTCCACGATTGCCTTTCAGGCTACTGCACCTCCATGCAACCTCTAAGGTTGCCTTCAAGGCTACTTGGCTTTCTACAACCTCCATGGTTTCCCTTTAGGCTACTTCACCTCTACCTAACCTCTGCGGTTGCACCTCAAGCCAACCTCCATGGTTGCACCTCAAGGCTACTTGGCCTCCATGCAACCTCCACGTTTGTCCTTCAGGCTATCCATGTAACCTCTACGGTTGTCCTTTAGGCTGTTTCGCCTCCATGTGACCTATAAGGTTGCCCTTCAAGGCTACTTGACCTCCATACAACCTCCACAATTGCCCTTTAGGCTACTTCACCTCCATGCGACTTCTATGGTTGCCTTTCAAGGCTATTTGGCCTCCATACAACCTCCATGGTTGCCCTTCAAAGTTACTTTGCCTCCATGTAACCTCTAAGATTGCCTTCTAAGTTATTTAGCCTTTGATAGATGACCAACAACTTCTACGATTGATGAGTAGGCTACTTAGCCTTTCTCAAGGATTTGCAACCTTTAAGCATCAAACACCTCAACTTGTGGCGACCCTCTCCCGATGGTTAGAATGGGGGCATAGGTGTTAGAAGACTTGAACCACCTCTATTAGGGAACTTCTCCATGATCTCAAGAATTAGGAAGTCAGTCTCAGAGTAAGAAACATCCGCCCATACTGAATATAACCCATCAATCCTTACTAGACTCCTGAGCAACTCTTATCGTTCTACTAGCTTATAAGCAAAGTAAGTTCCATGTATAAGCAACAATGAATGCTTCTCTTTTCCTTATATCAACCAAGCTCTAATCCTTTAGGCAATAAAGGCCCAAAAATAAACCTCAGTCCTCCAAAAACATACCCTAATTAACTCCATTCATTAAATGAGGTATGGGGGCAATTGTAGGGATCTTTGGTTGGCAAGTGCTATGTAAAACCCCAAAATATTTGAACTTTTTATGAGAAGGGGCAAAACGATAATTTGCCACTACAGTGCGAGTTGAAAACCTGTATTTCTCTAGAGCTCGGATGAAAAAAACGAATCTCACCGTTGGATTTTTCTTGTGAAATCTAGTTACCTAGACAAATTTTGTCATATTTTGAGATAGTCAGATTTTTCACGTTTTACGAGACGATCGGGTCTCGAGTAACCCAAAAATAAAATTTTTAATAAAATTCTGAAATTTGGTAAATAATTTAAATAAATTTCACATAAAATTTTTTGAGCTTAAACCGGTACGACATTTAATCATTTTAGGGCAAAAATGGACCCAGGAATGGGAGGACGTGTGGCTCGACGTGGACCAAGCATTAAAGGGTATAAATAGGAACAAAAATTTGAGTTTTTGGACAGAATTCTCTGCTATATTCCAGTGTGTAAATGTGTGAGGAAGAATAGAGGGAAAGGAGAAGAAAAAAGAGAGATTTCAAAGCTTCTCTCTACGATCTACGCCTCTCTATCGCTCGAATCAACTCGAGCCAAGAATCAAAGTCGATCTCCTCGATGAGGGCCACATTTATGTACCAAAAAGAGAGAATTTCACTGATGTTTCTAAGACAAAATTTTGGAGAAATCAAGATTTGAGCTTGGGGGTGTATTCTTGGAGCTTACCAACGTTCTTTTACACTTCAAGAGGTAGGATTTTCATCCTAACTAGGTTTATTTCCAACCTAGGATGAATATATGAATTGGGTGGGCTATTTTGTGTATTTTAACACTTGCCTATTGTAGTTGGTTTAATGAAAATGGGTAGACTTAATTCTAGTGTGAATTGGTAATTAGAAATTGCCAGTTTGTGATTTCTTGGATGTTTTGAAAATTGGGTTTGTGAAAATCACTTAGTCTGATTTTTTTTGAGTTATGTATTAAATTTGAGCATTTTATGTGATTACATGATTTGGTGCCTTGAGGTGTT